TTTTTGTAATCATTGACACAATCTGGGAAACTTCCCTCAATCACCAACCAATCACTAACCAAACTAAGTGCCAATAGTCTAAACTATAGTATATTGTCGTAATTATTAAAAGCAGACTTATACACAAGGAGCAAAAAGTAATTTCAATATTTGGTTGATAGATGATCGACAAACTTTGGAACTAGTAGTGATTACTCGAGAAAGTGTAAACAGTAGTAATGATTTTTAAAAAGTGCTGCCAAATGGGGGGATTAATGAAATTGAAACAAATTAATTATCTTCAAGATGGACGTTTTGCACTTATGCACGCCAAGGCACATGCCTAGGTTTCTGTGGCACGTGTGATGCTATTTATAGTTATAAAAATCCGGCTTAAGTCATGCGTAGGAAATAGGACACGATCTATGCCTCGGTGCATGCCATTGTTGTTGCCCTTCGTCACTTGTCATGTCACTAATTACTATATATGTATATATTATAAGAAAATATTACTATTTTCTAATTAATGGTGATCTTATCTTAACCAGGCTGCTACCTGGTGGAAGCTACATGATAAATTGATGCCTAACGGCCGGTTCATGGTGAACTGTGGTGCGGGTCAAAACAGGTTGTCTGCTACACATGAAGTATGTCATAAAGCTCTACCAATGACTGGGGCTTGGAGACTAAATCCTACCATTAGGGCCCTATGTCAAGCATTTCCTGGACAAGTATGTTTTCTATTCATGTGAATGTAGTCCCTTGCATCTGTCCCTCTAAGCTATGATTGTTTTTATTGTCTTCTTTCCAAGCTAATGTCTTCTTTCATTACACAAAGATTGACTGAAATGCCTCTCTTTAGCACCATTGATTCCACAGTAAGCTAATTTTACAGCACTTATTGCAAGGGTAACATAGGAGAAAATAAGAAGAATTGCAACAATTATTAATATATTTATATAATCTAAAGAAATGTGATTCTTTTGGGCCTGCTTCCTGGAGAAAGTTCATTATCTGTTGCCCATAGAGAAAATTCATTGAAGTGAGTGTGAGAATCATATTCAAAATACGAGTGTGAACCTATATTGATCTTAATAAACTTAAATGGAAACTTCATCTTGCTCACTTGACCCCTGAGGAGAGAGATAGATTCTACTACCTCAACCTAAAGAACATACTGGAGTTCAAAGTAGTTTTTCTTACATTATTTCCGTACAAAATTGAGTTATTGTAAGCATTGATATGGTCATTTCTGATTGAACACAAGTTGCAGAAGACCTATCTTCTACATATTGGAAATTTCTCCCGTACACTTTGCATGAGTTACAGTTGCTCATTACTTGGTTTGTTGTCAGTGTAACTCACAAGAATAAATACCAGGTAAATTGGAAAAAGTTGCCACCAAGTGCAGGCGAAAACTATCTTGCTTTGACTGGATCTTTGCCAGACATGACAACATGGTCTGCTGCTCTACCTAATGAGCTGAAAACAAAGGTCAATCAGTGGCGATTTTGTTACACTCACGACAGTTGATTGGAAAACTGCGAACACTAGCTAATGGGTTTGAGCATCTCTCCTCCCATCAGTAAATTTCATACTTTCCTTTTCTGAGGGAATAGATAGATAAATCTTGCTGATATATATTCATTTGCTTATTGTTCTTCCCAAATTATTGTGATGCTGGACATGTCATTGGCGTTCACCAATTACTGATTTGATGCAGCCATCTGAGTAAATCTTTACATCTTGAGTTTGTCATGCATCTGGCTATTACCACCTTCAAAGAATTGTAGGGTAAAATGGTACCTTTGCCTAGAAACTCACTTTTCTGAACTGATTAAATATATTATACATATAAATTACAATCTTGAGTAGACTATTAAGTGTTGAACTCTTGCTGTCTTGAGGATATAGGAAATTGGGAATTGATGAGAAGATTTTTTCGTACACATTTCATAATAAATGTCATTTTAAAAAGTTGCACAATAATTAATAACATTTTTTTTTTCAATAATAACCCTCTTTAATGAAGATAGAGATGAATGTGTATGAAGATTAAATATAAAAGTCATAGTGTATTTATTAGCTAAATGAGGCTAATAATGGAAAAATATGTACAAAATATCTAATACATCATTTATTTGGTTAATAGTTGATAAATCTAAAATGACACTTATTATGAAACTGAATTGCTAAATACCGCATCCATTTTACTAATACCGCACCCTAAAATGATAGTTTTGCCCTTTATTCTTATTTTTTTTAAAAAAATAATGTCCCACCTTCTAACCTATTTATCGGCCGAACCGAGCACCGAAAAATTCCGAAAACACCTCCAAATAATTCCGGCGAAAAAATGTTATCCAACAAGACCGGTAATGCGGCGGTCGGCCAGTCAAACCGGCCGGACTGGAGCCAACATTTAAATTTTTTTTTTTTTTAAACCGGCCGGTCGCTGATTGCGGCTGCAACTCGACCGGCAGAAGGCTGATTGCGGCCGCAACTCGCTTGGCCGCGCACAGCCGGCTCATTTTTTTTTTAAATTAAATATTTAAAAAAATATATAATTTTTTTACTACTATTAATTATTAGAGAAACCAATTAATAGTTATTAAGGCAAGTTGCTACAACATATATAGCTATTCATTGCCTTACATTGAACTTTCTCATTCAATGTGGGATAATTGCAAATTAAAGTTTTCACTCTGCCAACCTTTTATAGCTACTCTTGGACTTTATTATTGTGTTTGTAATCGATGTGGGATTGTCTCAAACCTTTATAACTACTTTTTGCATTCTTTTTTGCTTTCAAAATCAATGTGGGACTAAATGATCCATGCTTTAATTCACTTTCACTATATATGTCAAGATGAATATCACATTATCATTAATTAAACTTATTATTATCTTAATTAGTATAAATTATATTATTATAAATTAGAAATGATACTAGTTTGAAAAAATTATATTACTTTAAATTATTATGTTATATATTGGAATTGATTATCTTAAAAATTAGAATTTATTACTATCATGTTAGAAGTTAGAAATTATTGTATATATATTAGAATTGATTGTCTTATGAATTAGAATTTATTACTATTTTGTTAGTGGGCAGAAATTATTGTATTATAGATTAGAATTGATTATGTTATAAATTAGATGGCCAAGTACATCGAAATATAAAAAATATATTTAAATAATTTCATATATATTATTATATATTTTATAATAAATTAAAAAAATTAATAATTAAGTTTGATTAATAATTAAAATATATTAATAATTTAAATTAATATATATTAATATTTTCATATATATTATTATACATTCATATATATGAATATGTATAATTTAATAATATTAATATATATTTTATATAAATATATATTAATAGAATTAATATATTATATAATATATATTATATTAATATAGTTATTATAAATTATGATAGTATAAAATATAATTAATTATAATGAAAAAAGTATATTAATATGATATGGGATATTATATAGCTGAGGAATAGACCGGTTTGCATCATCGGTCGAGCAACCTCGAAGTGGAGAAAACCGGATTGGGAGAAAGATGATCGACCAAAAAGGAGGAGATCGAGCAGAATAGCAGAGCTGGTCGAGGATCGACCAAAAGGGAGGAGATCGAGCACTCAACAGGTGAAGAGCAGTCTAGGGCGTGGCTTGAACGCGAGAAGGCGCGTGGATGACGTTAGAAGATCTCAACGGCCTGCGCAGAATAATAATCTCCCTCAGCTCAGAGGGACACGTGGCGAGAATATATTGGTGCAGAGTGATAGTGGCGAAAACTACCCCTGACATCTCTGACACACGTACACTATGTGTGTACGGACGGGCAGTACGGGCAGGACAGCTCACCAAAAGCAGGGCAGTTTTTAGGGCAGGTATCTCACTCCTATATATATGGGAGTGGGTCTTTTCTTGTAGCCTACGATTTATCCATTCTTTACTTTGGAAAATTGAACAAACACATACTGACTTAAGCATCGGAGGCTCTTCACCGGAAAACCCCTCCGGTGTGAGAGTTCTGTGCAGGAACGCGGCGTTCTACCAGCGAGGATGAAGGAGGCAAGCTGATTTCAAGTCGGTTGGAGTGTTTTGCGTTACCATAATATAAATTATATTAGTATATAAAAAATTATATTATTAATTAGTGTAATTATAATAAATTATAATAGTATAACATATAATTAATTGTAATAGAAAAAAATGAAGTGGGTATTTATTTTTGGGCCTTATTAATAAGAATAAAATAGAAATAAGACAATTAACTTAATACACATCCACGTGTAATATTTTTATTGGTCGAGGCTAAATTGGGTATCAACAAGAGGCCCCCGACTTTAGAACATGTTCTGAACAGAACTGTTCTGAAGTTGCATTTATAATCAATTTGGTGGACGTTTGCTTTATAATTTGTTTGAGTTTGAGGCTTTTTACGCTGTGATAAATGACATATCGATGTTGCCGGGTGCTTTGGGACCCGTGGATGTTTTTTTGATCGTGTTCAGGCTTTGGCCTGACGTATTGATGTTAATCGTATTTTTTGTTCTGACGAATGAAGTAGATGGCGTGGATAGTCAATTTTTGGAATTGCTATATGAATGCGGTCTGAATGACCTAGTCGGGTAATTTGGTACCCGTTTTTCACGTTTTTGTGTGTAATGTGAAGCGTTTAATGGATTTGATTTTGTGGTGATAATGATATGGATTCGTGTGGGCACTCGGGCTCCTGGAATGGCTAACATATTCGCGATTTTGTTGTTGTACTGAGGTGGCGCGATTTTTCTTTTTTATGATTGTTTTTCTTCGCAATGTGGACCTAATCGAATAATTTGGTATTCGATCTTCGGTCTTTTAGTTTTCTTAAGAAATATGGTCATTCCAGCCGGTAAGGTCTTACAGTGTGTGCTCAGACACGTTCATATCTGAAGTTGTGTGTACTACCCACACCCAAAGGAAAAATAAAAAATCTCTCGTCACTCGCCCGAGTTCTTCTATTGCAGATCGACCAACCAACCCTCCTCATGCTCCTACAAAGACGTCGACCAGGGAGCTTTTATGGAAAATTATTCCGAGCTCTAATAAGAATAAGGTTTCAGAGGTCGGCGACTCTTCAACAAAGAAGGAAGTTGCTTGCCAGCCGCCTTGAAGCTCCATCCAACAACTTAAAACGTTTGCAACCTGCAAAGTTCTCGATATTCAGGCATCCTACATGTTATCGATCTTTTCTAATGGAGAAACAGATCGCTGGGACGAAGACTCCAAGATGCGGCTAAGAGTATGCGTCGGGTTGCCGAGGTACTTATCATGTCTTTCTCTCCATTATATATCGAGCTCCTTGTACTTTGCAAAATATGGATTCTTCCATTATAGTGTCTCTATTCAGCTCATGTCCGGCCTTGCTCCCATTTTCCACGAAGCTATCGATGGAGAGTCTCCTTATTCATGCAAGAACCATAAACTGAAGAAGGAACTGCAGGTTGAGGCTGCAAAAGTAGAGAAGCTCAAACGCCAGCTTGAGACAGCCCAGGGTTCTCTGAGTTAGGTCGACCAGCTCAAGGCTGAGCTGACCAGATATCTGAGGCCTACAAATATCTGGAGGCTCTTAAATCCTCCCAAGCAACGCTCCTAAGAAAAATAAATAAAATAAAACAAAACGAGGTGCACGAGGTCGAGGTCGAAAAGCTCTAATAGCAGACCACTGCTCGGGAAGTGGCAACTCGTTAGGAGACCAAAGGCGACTTTCTCTCTTCCGCTTCTAGATCTCGATTTCTCGATGCCCATCGGGATGAGCTGTATGATCTCTATAAAGATTCCATGCCCTTCCTTCAGCTGCTCATTCCCTCGGCCACGCGTTATTTAAAGATTGATGCCGAGAGGACTCGCGAGCAGGCCAGAGCTGGTGGGTACACGGGGGATTTTGACGGAGGGGCTTTGATGGCTGACCTCCTCGACCCCAATGGTTGGTCGGGTAACTCTGAGCTCCCTCTCGACCATCCTTGGTGGGAGCCTGTGTTGGAGACCGTTCTTCAGGAGCTCAATCTAGGTTCAGATGTAGATCCTAATGCTGGCGACCAAGTGTGGGAAAACCCCGAGAAACAGGCTACTTCCTGAGACCATGTTGAATGATTTGAACACTTTTTTGTACTTTTATGTGTTGTGTTTTTCCTTTTTGTAGCTCCATCAGTTACAGTTATTCTGAACAACTTTTGTAGTGAATATTTTTTCGTCGGTCTGTTTTATTATTGTCTTATAATAGCTCTGTTACCACTTTACTATCAAATATGATCAAGTTTAAATAGCTCTCGTTCCAACTATATTGATCAAAACTTAAATAGCTCGGTCCAACTTTGCTATACAATGAGAAGCGCCGGAGCTCTCAAAGAGATCTCACTTAAATTGTCACACAAAATGAACAACATCGAGCTCAAATAGCTCGGACTGAAGCCGTCACGTACAATGAACAACACCCACGCTCAAATAGCTCGGACCTAAGTCATCACACACAATGAACAACACCTGAGTTCAAATAGCTCTGATCGCGCGTCGCAATGCGACAAATTAAAATTTATAATTTTCCTTAACTAACCTCTACTAACTAGTAATAGCGGCGAGTAAGGGTCGATCCCACGAGAAGTGTGAATCAAATTGTGAATTTTTTCGTAATAATTGAAATTATAAAAATTGATAAATGGGGTGGATTGGATTATAAAATATAATCTATCTAATAATGAAATCTAAACAGGAATATAAAAATA